CCATCCTTGCCCCTCTCCCAGTGCCCCCCAGCCTGGCTTTGGTCCCTTTTTTTTTGGCACTTAGTGTTCACATCAGTGGTCAAAGTGTCGAGCGCGGGGTGGAGGGGTCCCTCTGGTCCCTGTAGTGGGGGTGGGGGCTCTGAGGCAGTGAGCCCCCCCTGGGACAAGGGGACCCCGACTGGGAGGGGGCACCCCACGGGTCAGCTCCTGATGCTGGGGCCCCACCACAGATGGATTTGGCCTCTGCCTTGGGTGAGCAGGGGGTGGTCTGGGTGCAGGGTCTCCCCGGGCACAGGGATGTCACCCGTGAGGATGGTGGCACGAGGACATTTTGGCCCTGTTCCCACATTGTGTCAGGACAGGACGGAGCCTCTCTGGGCACCAGGGGGGCAGAGGGGGGTGAGGGGAAACTGAGGCAGCCCCAGTCCTCCCCTGCCCCCCAGTCGGGCTCCTCAGCCTCGCTCAGCTACAGGCGGATCCACCTTCGGGCTGTGGGATGGAAGGGACAGTCAGGGACAGAGCCAGTGACGCCTGGCCTGGCCTGAGGGGTGCCCAGGTGACCCCCCCAGAGTACAGACAGCACAGGGTGAGTCCTCCAGGTACTGGGCTGGGACCCAGTAGTGTGCTGGGATCTCCACTCTGGGCTCCAGTAGGGCACTGGGACCATACCCTGGCATCCAGTTGACGCTGGGACCTTGCCTTGGGATCCATTTTGCCCTGGGATTCTGCCCAGAACCCAGTAGTGTACTGGGACCTTGTACTGGAACCCAGTAGTGCACTGGGACCTTGTACTGGAACCCAGTAGTGCACTGGGATACCAGCTGGGATCCAGTGTGGTGCTGGATCCCATCTTGAGACCCAGCAGTGCCCTGGGATCCTGCCCTGGGATCCAGTGATGCACAAAGACCCCACTCTAGGATCCAATACTGCAGTAGGATCTGTGCTGGAATCCAGGATCCAGTGCTGGGATCCTGTGCCAGGACTCTGCTGGGTACCAGCATTGAACTGGGATCCTGTGCCAGGGCCCAGCCTTACATGGGGATCCAGTACTGGGATCTTGTGCCAGGACCCAGCCTTGCACCACAATCCTGGACAGGAATCCTGTGCCAGGACTCCATGCTGGGTAACAACATTTCACTGGGGTCCTGTGCCAGGACTCGCCCTTGCACCTGGATCCAGCCTAGCACTGGGATCCTGTGCTGGGATCCTGTGCTGGGATCCTGTGCTGGGATCCAGCCTTGCACTGGGATCCTGTGCTGGGATCCTGTGCTGGGATCCAGCCTAGCACTGGGATCCTGTGCTGGGATCCAGCCTAGCACTGGGATCCTGTGCTGGGATCCCGTGCTGGGATCCAGCCTTGCATTAAGATCCTGCCCCAATCCAAAGGACCGGGGTCCACCAGACACCCTGGGGTGACAGCATGCAGGGAGGGGGCATGCAGAAGGGGGCATGCAGGGCCAGGGGGAATCCAGGGGGATCCAGGTGGGATCCAGGGGGATCCAGGTGGGATCCGAGGGGATCCATGCATGCAGGCGGTACCTGGGGTTTAACAGCTGGACTCGTCGTGGTGGGACGGGTCGCAGAAGAAGCGGGAGCCCCGCTTGGCCGTGCGGGCAGTGAAGGGGACGCTCTTCAGCGCTGCGGGGGCAGGGGCAGGGAACGGGGGACACGACAGGGACATGTCAGCCCCCGTGGCCGCGGGGGCCAGGGCAGGGGGCCGTGGGCCAAGGGTGCCGTACCGGTGATGATGTCCTCAATGGTGCCGTCCTTGCCCTCGTACATGGGCCGGTGGTCCTTGGCCTGGCGCCGCCGCAGCTCTGCGATCAGCTCCTGCTGCTGCCACTTGTTCCGCTGCGAGGGAGGAACAGGGGGTCCAGGTTAGGGACACAGGGGTCCCCTCCGTGGCCCCTACTCCCCAGCCCACGCCATGCCTGCTTCCACTAACCTTCTCCTGCTTTTTAGCCTCCTGTGCCAGCAGCTTCTCCCGCATCACCTCCTCCTGCTTCTTCCGCGTCTCGTTTTCCTGCTCCGCATCCTGCCAGGGCACACGAGGGGTGGGGGGTGTCAGCTTTCCCCCACCGTGGTGTGACCCCACCTGCAGTGCATCCCCCCCGGCCCCACCTCACCTTGTACGAGTGGATGAATCGGACAAAGACCGGGAAGAAGACGGACGGGGGGGTCGTCTTGGGGCTCTCGCCGAAATACCGCACCACGGTGTTGTAGGCGTCCTGGCACAGGACCGGTGGTCAGGGATGGGCAGTGTCCAGCACGGGGGGAAGGCAAGGCATGGTGGGCACCACGTGTGGGCAGAGCAGGGCAGGAGTGCACAAGGAGCACGCAGAGCAAGGTGTGGGTGACCAGGTGTGCACAGGGATAGTGCAAGACAAGGTGTGGGTGACCAGGTGTGCACAGGGATCGTGCAACACAAGGTGTGGGTGACCAGGTGTGCACAGGAATCATGCAAGACAAGGTGTGGGTGACCAGGTGTGCACAGGGATAGTGCAGAGCAAGGTGTGGGTGACCAGGTGTGCACAGGGATAGTGCAAGACAAGGTGTGGATGACCAGGTGTGCACAGGGATAGTGCAAGACAAGGTGTGGGTGACCAGGTGTGCACAAGGACCATGCAAGACAAGGTGTGGATGAGCAGCTGTGCACAAGGACCATGCAAGACAAGGTGTGGATGAGCAGATGTGCACAGGAATCGTGCAGGACAAGGTGTGGGTGACCAGCTGTGCACAAGGAGTCTGCAGAGCAAGGTGTGGCTGAGCAGGTGTGCCCGTGGTTGGTGCTGTCCTCACCTCGGCCGTGCGCGCATCGCGCTGCAGCCGCTCGAGCTGCCCCTCGCTGCCGCCCAGGAAGCCGCGCAGCACCGCGCTCTCGTGCTGCCCACACTCCCTCCGCAGCAGCTCCATCCCCCGGCCCAGCTCCTTCACATCCAGCAGCACGTTCTCCAGGGACACTGCAGGGACACGGGAAGGGTCAGTGGCTGTGTGGGGTCGGGACAGCGAGGTGGGGCCGTGGGCAGAGGTCGAGGAGCACCTGCTGCAGCCTTCTCCACAAAGTGCAGCTCCTGCCAGAAGGTCGCCAGCTCTGGGTACTTCTCCCGCACCGTCAGAGCGATGAAGTGCAGCAGCGTCATCTTCCTGTCTGTTGACTTGGTGTCCAGGAGCTGCAGGAGGATTTGGGGATGGGGTCAGGGCTGTGGGATGGGAACCTCGGGGTCCCAGGGAGCCAGGGAGGGGCTGCCCACCAGGTCCAGGCTCTGCAATTTGAAGCCATAGACTGCACCACGTTTGCTGCTGTTCATGTAGTTGCCAAGTGCCAAGATGATCTGCAGGGGCAAAGCAGTGGGATTGAACGGTCAGGAGGGAGCGAGAGCCCCCCAGGATCCCCCTCACCCAGCTATGGTGAGGTTGGAGTGAAGGACCCCACCCAGCCCATCCTCACATCCCCACCTCCAACATGTGCTTCAGCTTCTGGGACGATTTCACAGAGGCCGAGGCCGCGATGATGGCATTGAGCTGCTGCAGGGGGACAGGACAGGAGGGCTCAGCTGGGTTCAGGGTGCAGGGAACCCCCCGGCGGGTCCGGTTTCCACCTCCCCAGCTCCGTACCGGCGTCAGCATCTGGATGTTCTCGGCGAAGTTGCCGAGGAAGGCCATGATGGCCATGCGCTGCGGCAGCCGCTCCACCTTGCTGAACTGCAGCATGAACCGGTCCTCGTCCGCCAGCTCCTCCAGCGGCTTCCGCTCGCGCTCGTACTGACGCAGCGCCTTCGCCTCCGCCTCCGTGGGCAGGAACCGCATCAGGCACTCCACGAAATCCACCGGCAGCGTCGTCAGGTCAAACCTGCCCCGCGCCGCAACGTTGGGCTCCCAGCGGTGCCCGGTCTGGGAATCCTGGATCCCAGCCTGGCTCCCTGCAGCCTGCTTGGCCACCCTGAACCACAGCCAGAGCCCCTGCACCCTGCCTGGACCTCCTGAACCCCAATCAGGCCACGTGTACCCCAGCCAAGTCCTCTGCACCCCAACAAGCCCCTCTGCATTCCAGACAGTCTGTCTGCACCCTGCCTGGCACCCCTGAACCCCAAACAACTCCTGCTGCACCTCTGCCAAGACCCCCTGTACTCTGCCTAGATCCCCTGAACCCCAAGCAGCCACCCTGTCCCCCAGTCAAACCCTCTGCACCCCAGCCAGCCCTCTTGAACCCTGCCTGTCCCTCCTGCATCCCAACCAGTGTCCCTGTACCCTGTCTGGCCCCC